CCTGGTCATCGGGGGCTACTCCCGGAGACGGGTGTTTCCCTTGCAGTTTCAGGTCAACACCCCCCCGTGACACACTGGATCGTGCCGTGCTACAAGCGGAAGGTAAAGAACAACAAACAGTGGATGATGATGATTTTCACAGTCACCTCTTGGCCAGCTTGTTCCGGGTCATCCATATGAGGTTATCAGCCAGAGGACGGAGGAGGTTGTCGAATGCGTGGCTGATTGCCGTACCACTGAGCACCGCCCGCCTCGTCGCGTCCATGTCGGACAGATGGACGAGTAGAGTCTCCCCCAAAACGAAATAGCCGTGCTCTTGCCAGTCATCACCGGTCACCGCTTCCACCCCGCAGTCAACACAGGCATTGATCTTGAGCACGGCCTCGACGAGATCGGGCCCCTGACATGATGACGTCGCGGAAACAAAGTCAGAATGACCAACCGTAATAAACGTGCGCTCTCACGCTTTCTTGGAAGTCCGCAACATCTTCAAGCACTTGGTGTGCAGACGCAATTTTTGTCCAGTTGCCATGTGACGTGAGTCCTTCCGACGTTGCTTGTGGAGCTTTAACAGGTCGAGCGGTCCATGCATACATCTATTGTGCACTCCGTCTGCGCTAGTTGAAGAACTTTTAACGACCTTGGCTCCATGTGCTTACCACGTACGATGTTCGAGGAGGTATCTCGTGCACCAGCAGTCACATCGACAACATGCGGTTCTTGTTTTTCCTTGTTCACGGTCTGGCGTGACCAACTATGTCCCCTGGATGCCTTTGCGATATGGTAGTGGATGGCACAATGCCCCAACACAAAAAATTTTAGCAGATAGTACACGGACACAGGGCCACACCACATGCCCATGCCCAAGCAGCCGCACCTAAAAGGGGCGATGTTTACAATGCGACGCGCGGCGCCGGCAATGAACCAAGTACCCAACTCACCGGGACCAACGCTGTGACCCGCACACTCTTCAAGTGGGCATACGCTTTGCCGCACTTGGGGCATACGTCTTCGAGACTAGCAATCTCGGCGTCCGCCTCCAAACTGCCACGCTCTCCATCTTTTGACAGGGCTGCAAGGACGTGGACCGAGTATTTGATGCTGCCGAACATCCTCAGCAGCTGTTCTACCGTTGCTACAAACCCCGGCGCATTACGCTTGTGCTCCGCCGCCCCTGGACCGACGCCCTCATCGCCTGAATCTTCGTCGCTCCCGCCGTCTAAGTTGAGGGGGGAGCTGCTTCCACAATCGCTGCCCATGACACCCAACCCCACGATATGCGTATGCACGCATTTGCCGCTAGAGCCTTTCTTCGACGAGGTGCACCCCGTCCCCCCATTCGCCTATGATCATAGCCAAGTGACGGGCGCCAAGGGGTGGATAGTTGGTGGGACACAACTTGGTTGTGTGAAAACAGTCAATGCTACGTGCTATGATGCACACCACCACCTTGAAAGCACCGAAAGTATCATCGTTCGCTGCTACTTTGCCTTTCCGACCAGCTATCCTCGGGGGAAAATACTGTACGTCAGGTTTACCACGATATTTATCATCCGATCGAGACAACACAGGCACCAATATTGTTGGCGTGGTTTGCACAACGAATTTCAAGGTTAGGGCGGGAAAACAAACACAGCAGAAGCGCTCTAGAGCTCCGTATAAAAATCGTCATGCACCGGCGTAGTAGACTAATACCTTGCACTGGATCTGCTTCCTTTCAGTGCTCCGCCTTCTCGTTGATGGCGCTTTCTTCGACCCAGGTGGTTGCGGGAAATCCGTCTCGACGTGTGCCCAGCTGCCAGGAATAGACCGATGACCCGGATGGTACACAACATACGTCTGGGTCTCGCCTACGCGCATCAACAGCGGCACCCCATGCTCCTCTGCATTCGCTGCCATCCTTATAATCGTGTCAAATCTACCCTGAGTCAAAACCATCTGGGTTATCGCTGCATCCCCAACGCTTTCGATCCCTTCCCCATCCTTACCAAAGACAACCGGCTCTGCTTCAGGAATATCCGCCTTCGGGGTGGTCCCATCTCCGAGAATGACGTCAGCGTGCTCACATTGGCCCGCTGCAACCTGCTCGGCGTTTGGCGCGTGCTCGGGTTCCGCTTGCACACTGCAAAAACATACCAAAGCAACCATGCAAGTGACAGTGGGTCGTCAGAAAAAATATATATGTGCCGACAAATTTCTGATAACTCACCGAGCAGCAACTATCGAAAAACAAAATGATACCACAGAACGGCCGGGCCCTTATCTGTGCCCTGCAAATGCCTTTTCTTTTCCAACTGAGTTATAAAAGCGTTGGGTTGCAACAAAAATATGTAGTTTCGATCGGAGATTTGCCTGTGAGAAGGAAGAGTATCGAACACCACACAAGCACTGTTGTTTCGTGACATCTCCCAACAACTACATCGACTCACTGTTGGCATCGGTTATCGCAGCAGTTCACGATGCAGCTCGCAGGCGCACCAGGTTGCTCGGCGGTGACGTCGGTGATGACCATGACACGTTCGCCGCGGGCGGTGGTGGAGACCGAAAACAGTGCCTTTTCTCTATCTCTATTGTTGCGCGCCGCAACCGTGAGAGGCAGACGGAGCTTGAAAGCGCTGGTTCGAGCCTGGCGGTGAACCACTCGGGACACGCTACTCCCGTGGATGTGGCCGGCTTGAGCTCGTTGGGATGCCGCTCGCTTATCAGCTTTGTTTTTCTTGCACCTGTATGAGTACGAAGCATGTGATGGTGGGAAAAAAAGAGGGGGGAAAATGAGTATACGTTCAGCACGCACGCTGAGAGCAGGTCGTATTGTGGACGCTTCGGTCTTGGTCGCACTGCGAGAGGGTGAACACCTAACAAACACCGATGGTCAAGCAAACAGAAAAGTTGGAGTCGATACAGATCATCACCAGCAACATTCCCGGAGCAACTAGGTGAAAACAGGTGACAGCCTACCAGGCTGCGAGAGCGCTGTGGAAGCCAAGATATTGTTGCATATTCCTGTAAAAAAAACCACATATGGGTGGCATCGAATCGGGTGAAACCCACGTGCGTGAGAAGCTTCCGAGATCTCGATCTGGCACATCACTCTTGATCGCATAATTAAAAGAGGATTGCAATTGAACAAAGAAACTGAACAGCGGAAAAAGAAATGGGGTACTCACGCGTGACACAGACATGCCGACTTCGTCTTGGTATCGCAGAAGCAGCAAATGAAGCGATCCTTGGTGAGGTCGATCAGCCCATGGTCAACGTGGCAATGCCATCGTTTGAGACACCCACGACAAATCGAAGTAACTGTCTTGCTTTTCGAACAGCACCAGCTGCACTTCGCTAACGTAGCATTAGCAGGCACGATGACAGGGACGGGCTTTCCGCTGGAGGTATCCTTTGCCTCCCCGTCCCCCCCGTTGCCTTCCTCCTCATGACCGCCTGTCCCTGAGCCATGCGGTACGCCATGCTGCAAAACCAGATGTAAACCATGGCCGGTCAGGGCGTCACCGACGATGCCACCTGCCGTCTCTGCTGCACAGGCAACGGCAGCGGCGGGAGTGGCTGACGTACCTGCTCGATCTGCTGCGGGTGTAACACCGCCCCGCCAGCTGCGCCCTGCGGCGCCATCAATAGCTGTGGCGGCGGCGGCGGCGGCCATACCCCTCCAAAGCAACCGGCGGCTGACAGCTGCTGCTGTTGCCGCTGTTGCTGCTGCTGCTGCTGCTGCTGCTGCTGCTGCTGCTGCTGCTGCTGCTGCTGCTACTGCGGTCACCACGGCACTTCGTTGGCTAGGCGCTGCCATGGTGGCAACATTGCTCCAAGTTGGCATGGGCGTTCATAGTTTAGATGCGCTCCTCCCGCTACCTCCGAAAGTATCAGTGTTGCACTCGGCCCGTACGTAACGGCAGAGCAGTATCCCGGTTCCCTAGGTACCCAAATGGCAGATGAAAGGGGCGTATGTGGTTTCGCGAATTCGAAACCATCACCTGATAGCTCCCCTGGCGTCCCCAAGGCCTCCGATGCTTGGCACATCTGCTGTAGCAAGGAGCGAGTGCAGCATCCGGCCGGAGGCCGCGACGTTCACCGGCCCCGAAACCCTCGCATGAATTTCTTGCATCTCGTCCCAAACTCCCCCGGGATAATGGGGTTTGCGACGCGTGGCGTTTTGCTGGTGGTGACTCACGCTCACTCAAACTTCTGCGAGTCGCTCCGATATCCGCAGGAGTGTCGCAAGGAAATGTGTTCACGACGGCTACACCGCCAGGTGCGCCGCCGGCCGACAGATGGGAATTGCGCGACGGCTCGCTACCGGCTGTCCGTTCTTCAGGAGGGTTTTGCTGCAAGAAAATGAAATTCTCTCGAGTGTTCGCGCATGGGGCTGCGGGCAAGGGGTGCGACACCTGCTTGTGCTGACGACCAGCCGCACCATCCACGCAGGCATCCGCGCCGGCATCATGATCAGCATCCTGATGGGCGCCGCCAGCAGAGAGCGCGCTCGGCAGCATGCCGCTCACCTCCTTGCAACAACGACTGAACGATGCTGTGCTGGCTGTGGTGGCCAACGGTGGAAGCCACACTATGAAATGCTCCCCTCTAGAGGCTACGTGTCGATAAGGTAGCACAGCCGCCCTGTCCGTCCTTCACAGCACGCGCACCTCGTGCGCGGCGTGCGGAGAAATGTAGCACAGCGCCGGGGTTTCCCCACCCCGCGGGAGCTTTGTGAATAGAACCAAAAAGAGGTTCACCGAGGGAGCGCGCGTACTCGCATCTCCAACCAATGAGGAGACAGCAAATTTGGATGTAAGGATCCCTTCGCACGGATGGTAAAATGTACTGCCACCTTGAAGGCGTCTTCCACGATCAGGCACAAAACCAAGGCACCCGGGTTAGCCACGCCATCTCTGACGGGTCTCTCTACAAAACCAGTGACGACGTCATCACATAAAACCAACGCGGAAAGTCAAAAGAAAAACGAAAAAAATTGACAACACAGACGGATAGAAATGTTTGTCCGTGCGCCACGGGTCGATGTCGCCCGCATGCTCCGGTGCCGCTGCTCCATCCGGCGCCGCTGTAGTCAGCCCGAGCAAAACGCCACTCGACCTGCTCCGTTCGTACACGCTCTCGTTGCTGTCCTTCCCAGTCGGTTCCGCACTTTCTCCCTCATTGCACTGAAGGTCCTTGGTCTGAAAAAAATAAAATTTCTCGCGCCGAATGGTCAACCAGCCCAGTTCAGCTCGTCGCTACCTGCTCCCTCCTCCTTTGATGGCGAAGCCAGGTTACTGAGGCAATACAGCTCCCTCTAGCAAACCTAGGGCCGTGTAGTGTCCGTCCACCTTTCTGATGGTGTCTGCCTCCGCGCACAAAAATGAGACGGGCATCACTGCCTACGCCGACGGCCAGAAAGGCCCGCGCATGTACATTTTCCCGCCTGACCCCATCAGTGCCGACCCAACTCCACCACCACACGCACGCCTCGCGGCGGATGCGCAGCAGCAAGAAGGTTTCGGTCATCCCTTGGGGGTGACTCCAGCCCTGCTCGCCAGAAAGACCCCCCCCTCCCCACCCCCCCCCCCCCCCCCCCCCCCCCCCCCCCCCCCCCCCCCC